GGGCAGCTCCGCTCTTTTATAGCGGCCTCGGGCGGGCGGACGGACAGACGGACAGACAGACAGACAGACGGGCAGACAGACAGACAGACGGGCAGACAGACAGACGGGCAGACAGACGGACGGGCAGACAGACGGACGGACGGACGGACAGACAGACAGACAGACAGACGGACGGACGGACAGACAGCGCCATGGCCATCCCCTGCGTGGAGCTCAGCAACAAGATGAAGATACCCGCCCTGGGGCTGGGCACCTGGCAGGTACCCAGGGCAGGGAGGGAGATGCCGGGATGCGGGATGAAGTTAAAGCACCGGCAAAATAGAAAAGGGAAATGATTTAAAAAAATAATGGAAAAGGATACAAAATGATAGAAAAGGGAAAGGATACAAAATAGAAAAGGAAAGTATACAAAATAATAGAAAAGTATACAAAATAATAGAAAAGGATACAAAATAGAAAAGGAAAAGGATACAAAAATAATAGAAAAGGATACAAAATAATAGAAATAGAAAAGGATACAAAATAGAAAAGGAAGCGCCGCTCTAAAATCCGGGTCCGTGCCCTGCCTGGCGCTCGCAGCGCCCGATGGCGGCCGCTTATGCAACCGGGCGGGGGGGCCGCGGGGAGCCGAGGGGGAAAAAGCCAAAAAAAATATAAATTAGGGGCTGGAGGAGGTGGGAGGAGGCGCAAAAAACTAGAGGGGAAGAGAAGGAAACCCACCCAAAAGAGCGAGCGGCAGCGGCTCGCAGCCGCGGGATGGGGTCGGGGTCTGCGGGGGGAGGATTTGGGGAAGGGGAGGATTTGGGGAAGATTTGGGGAAGGGGAGGATTTGGGGGAGGAGAAGTGGCGAAACTCCTTGGGCAACACAGGGAGCAAAGAGGGGAAATGGCAGGGGATATGCTGCTGGCATAAAGATGATGGCTTGCAGAAACAAACTCCTTTCTGCTCTGTGCCCGCTCCCCGCTGGAAACTCCGTCGGGTTTCACTTTAGTGCCGGTGAGGAGGAAACTCCAGCAAAGGGGGGATGTGTGGAGCTGTCACTGAGCCCTGGCAAGGGGACGAGGAAAAACTCGTGGTTGGCTTCTGTTTGCTTTTCAGGCTCCCCCGGGAAAGGTGGAGGAGGTGGTGAAGTTTGCTATTGATGCCGGCTACCGCCACTTCGACTGTGCCTATTTCTACCAGAATGAGAATGAAATAGGGAATGCAGTCCAGCAGAAGATCAAGGAGGGAGCTGTGAAACGGGAAGACCTCTTCATTGTCACTAAGGTACAAGGATGCAAACTTATTGGGGCATTTAGCTTTTCTTGCAGAGAAATCTTTGTTGTACCTGTAAAGTAACACAGTTCCCTTCTCTGATATTCACTTCGTGGTTTTCTTGTTCTGTCTTAAAAGTCCCACCCTGTATTTGGACTTGGCTTTATCAGGGACTGCTGACAACTCAGGAAAGATATCACAGCTACTACTGATCTGATAATTTCCTCACATCGATTAAGTCAATTATTCTGGGTGTTCAATTGGACACACCCAAGGAAGATAAGGGGAAGAAAACCACAAAAAAAACCCACAAACCAAACAAAACCACCAAAAAAACCCCAAAAAACCGCACAACCCCCCCCCCCCCCCC